CGACAACCACGTCGTCGACGGGACAATCGCGGCAACGACGACGGCTACGACGTGGATCGAGGAAGAAAGTCGTGCACAAGGATAACAAAGGCGCGATCGAGTTTCGTTTTCTGTTCTGTTCGTTCGGCGAGTAGGGCCGACGGAAACACGTAGGAAGAACGATCGAGGAAAGAAGAAAAACGTAGGAAAGGAGGAACAAGGGGAGAGAGATAGACGGAGGAGAGCGAGTGGAGGAGCGAAAGAGAGGGAAGTAGAGCGTGGAAGGAAGGAAGGAAAGGAGGAAGGAAGGAAGGAAAGGAGGAAGGAAGGAAGGAAGGAAGTAAAGAAGGAAGGAAGGGGGAAGGAAAAAGAGAGAATCGGGTCGAAATCGTCGGACATGTGCGCGGCGCTGTGCTCGCAGGCAGCAGGGACGTGATGGTACGTAGCTCGCGGCGTGCAAGTTATCAGGATTGCTCGCGGTCACGGGTTCGTGACGACCATGGTGAGGAGTGCGACGGCGTGAGCGACGACAACGAGCGCGCTATCGCGAGAGAGAGCCTCGGGGCGCCGCACGCCGACGGACGGAGCGGCGTTGCCACCTCTCTTCGCCCGCTGCACCGCGAGAAGCGATACGGCAACCAAGAACACCGTCGTTGCCACGTCCGCTGCTACGTTCCGCTGCCAGCCGGGACGGCAGCTCGCTGCTGGCCACGGCGACCATCTCTCTCGCTACGCTGGTAAGCACCTACACGTAAGCCTCTGTATACCGCCCTGCGAAACGTATGGTAGTCGCGTGAATCGACCAACAAGCCCGTACTACGCTCGGTACTCGCGATCCTCCGCCGAAGATAGGACACCGCCGCTGCTCGCCGCGATGCCGATGCTCTACCCGCGAGATCCTGTTGCCTGGAATAGCTACCGTGCTCTCTCGGACCGGTATACGTCGACGTTCCAGCAAAAACGCTCGAACCACCGATGTTACCGTGGCAACGCTCCTATCGACGACGGCTTACCCTCGCGATTCTCCATCGCCGCTCTTTCTATTATATCTCTCCTCCCGTTTACTCTTTACCGTCTCGCCGTCCAATTTACTTTCTTCCTTCGATCGTATCAGCCGTGGCCTCGTGACGATTCGTCGCGAGCATGCGAGACGTGATCGGCATCGCGCGGACGTATCCAAGTCCAAGAACGAAGATCGCGATTCTCTGGAGAATCGAATCGCGTCGATCCGTAACAACGGCGATCAACGAATTAGGTGGTCTCTCTCTCTCTCTCTCTTTCTCTCTCTGCTCGCTTGGCGCCAGACCTTTCTCAAGTTCGAACGCAGAAGCCCTTCTACTCGTCCTTCCTCTCTCTCTCTCTCTCCTCCTCTCTCTCTCTCTCTCTCTCTTTGCCCCTCGCTTGCACGTTCTCTCTCTCTCTTTCTCTCTCTTTCTTCTTTCCCCCTTTCCTCCAAGTTCTTCATTACTCTTGCCATTCCTCGTAAACCAACCTCTTTTCTGTCGCGTTCCCGGCCTTGACGGATCATTCGCAGAGCGAAATTGCACGAACACGGAGCCGTCGACTATGTCGTCGACGCAGGTGGTCGAGCCTTTCCTCCTTTCTTCGAGTTCGTTAGCCATGCGCAGTGACACTTGGCCTCTGTTATTGTCGCGCGGGAGATCTGTACGCGGGAGCTCTAAAAACCTAGTTTTTCCAAGCCGACGTATCGCGTGACTAAGCTGGTTTCACTGTCAAGTATACCTTTCACGCGAGGATCTCGTTGCTCGTCGCGCGATACTTCGACAAACGCGTTTCCCGTTCGTTGCCTACGAAATCTTGCTAAATCTCCCACCATCGTACGGCTACGAAACTTGATAGGAAGCCGCTTCCTCGTTAGCCACCAGTTAACGGCCGTTCGCGAAAAGCTGTTACAGCAGCGCCGTAGCGCTGGCGCGCGCGCGCGAACCGTTCGCGAGAGCACAGCACGCGCGAAATCAGATTCGCTCGCGCGATACCGACTAAATCTCGTCTCACGCATGTTCGTCGTGAACGAGACCGTACGTGGCAACCATCTGGTCGAAAATATTATCGAATATCGTTGCACAGATAGACACGGATAGGAGAAAGGGAAGAGAAACCATCCCCTTTAAGAGATAGACCTTAAAGCCCCGGCGTAACTCGTTTCTCCCCCCTTGCATTTCACGAGATATTTCATTATTCTAAATATATCGACGGTACGCACGAGTCTCGCGTAAATGGAAATCGCTGCTTCGAACGTATCTTAACGCGATTACGTGCGTGTGTTTCCCCCCTCGGGCTAGTGCGCGCGGCTACCTGCATTTCGGAATCCTCCGACCGTTATTAGAACGCGCATCGATATCGCGCACGTCGGTACATTAACGCGTAACGTTACGCGATTTAATTTTAGATAAGCCGCAGATCGGCGATCACCGATTCGACTCGCTGTCGCGTACGACGAATCGCGACAATGCGTGGAAATTTTTTACGCAAGCGCGAATTATGATTCCGTGCGACGTGCACGGCGACCACAGCAAGCTGCGCAGTTAATTTAAAAAAAGCATCTAATCGTTGCTCTTTGGTCCCGTGGATTAACAATCCGAATGGCACAGCTGTTTCAGAATCGACTAACGACATGGAGGCAAAGGAGAGGGAGAAGCCGCTGGTTAAAGACTTGAACGAACATATCGTGTGTCCTCTCTGCAGAGGCTACCTCATAGACGCAACGACCCTCGTGGAATGTCTACATTCTTGTTAGTATTTCTTTCAATTTCGTGTTCCGTAGTAACGCTCGTCCCATCTCGTTACTCGTCGCCGGTCATCGCACGATTTTCGCTCATCTGACTCGCCTTTCATCGGCTCGTTAACATTAATTTGCATGAGAAAAAAGCTATAACGTAGCGAAATCGTCGATGAATATCGTTCGGTGACGACGCGAAATAACGACGCGTGTACCGTGCCGTACCTCCAACGGCCGTATCTACTTCGCGTGCGTGAAATAGTCCATCCGCTTCGTCCGCCCCTCCGGCAGGGTGGCTAAATTCGAGAAGGGTGACTAACCGCTGGCGCTGTTCGTTCCGCGCGTTCTCATATTCTCCCGACGAATAGAGATTTTTCGAACGTAGAGATTCCGCGTTCGCGATGGAACGAGCGTAATTAAACATCGGAAAGAACACGCTTGGAATATAAAATAGATACGAGTGGAACGATGCTCAGTTTGCAGAGGTTGCATAGTCAGAAGGTTGAGCAGTGGTGCCAGAGCGTGTCCCGTGTGCAATGTCGCAACGTCTCCGCCGCTCTTGCCGGACGTAAAGCTACAACGACTGGTGTATCTCGTAGTACCCGGCCTCTTCCGGTCGGAGCTCGAACGAAGGCGTCATTTCCGGCTGGTCAATCCGCAATGCCCACCTTTAGCCCTTCCATTGGGTGCTCTAGACTTAACCTTGGACGATTTCGTCAGCCTGAGCTTGTGCGAGCTCGACGAACCGGAAGAGGAGGCGGTCGCTCGCGAGCCGGAGAACCGTGTCGGGTCACGACACCGAGCGAACAATACCGATCAAACGAAACACGAGGAGCCGATCAAGGTTCGAAGCACGCGGTATCTCAAGTGTCCGGCAGGAGTGACGGTTCGTCATCTGGTGCGATTGTTGATGCTGAAGAGAGGATGGGAGGAGGCGAATTCTTACGGGGCGATCGTCAACAAAATCGAGATTCTCTGCGAGAAGAGCGACGAGAACCGGCGCAATAGCACGAAAACGATGGTACTGGACCAATCGTGGACTCTACTGGACCTCGCCTGCATATTCGGCTGGAAAAGAGTGAGTTTCTTCCCCTATCATTTACCCCTTCTGCCCTGTTATTTAGCGAGCCCATAATTTACTTTCCTTTCGCATCGTGTTCGTCGGTAACTCATGGTCGCGCGATGGAGGTCGATCGTCTACCTCGCGATAGTCATAATCATTTCCTATTGCGTCAGTCGTATTTAGAACTCTCGTGATGCTGCAAGATACCATAGGGGAAGCGATAATTTTGACGTTGCAGGAAGCACCCATGAAGCTGTTTTATCGCATTACGCGCCGGGAGGCTATTATTCCTCAATCGAGCGACAGTTCCTTCAACGACGAAACGACCGAGGATACCGCGACCATGGAAAATATTCAGAGGCCGCCGACACCACCGCCGAGCCCCAAGCCGCCGCAGGAGTGCGAAGTCGAGGCTCGTAGGATTTTAGAAAGCAGCAACGTACCCCCTCGATCCTTGAAGACCAATTTGGAACGCGACAAGGAACCGAAGGCGAAGAAACCGAGGTGCAAAGTGACTCCGGTTATGAGGACTCCTAATCTCGTACCGATACAAAACAATCACGCACCTGAGAGTTCCAAGACCAAAGACCTGACGAAGCTGGAACACCACAAGCACAAGAAACGACGAAACAAACGAGTGATCGCTGAGATCACCACCACGCCGCGGGAGGATCTATTGAAACTGAAGGTTCGGTTGACCCCGTGTCCACCGAGAATCACGTCGAGCAGCGCGACCGGCCAGGCAAAAGAGAAATTGCTGCAGATGAGAGCCGTTAGACGAGAAAAGATCAAAGCGACGACGATAAGTCAGCAACGATCGACAGGCGCGTTGGTGGCTCCAGGGGAAGGTGCAGTTACGAAAGAGAACCTCGGAGAGACAGAGGAGACCATCGAAGAAATTATAGACAGCATACCCGACGAGGTCGTTCGAATCGCACAAAATATAACTACTCCTCCGACGGAGGATACTTCCGCCTCGGTCGATAAGGTGGATCAGAGAAGCATACAGCAGAGTTGTAGACCATCGTCGAAGAAGGAAGAAACTTTGCCGGAAATCGTGAAAAGAGTGGAACAGGTCGAATCAGAACGTCCGAAGAAGGACGAGGAGATTCTTCGAAGATTGGGTCTGGTAGCCGTGAACGAAGCCAGCGACAATTTCCGGGATAAAGCGAAGCAACGCGTGCAAAACAACGGGGAGAAGATCGATAACTTGAACAGAGAGAAACTCGAGAAACAATTGCGCGAAAGTAAAGCGAATCGTGTGAGAAGCTTGTTGGCTGAGAAACAGATGCGCGACGCGTTGAAAACAATGTCGAAGACGAAAGAGGAACAACATGCTGCGCCCATTCAGGTCAGCGCCCCTCCGAAAAAGAAAGGTCCGCCACCACTAGCGCCACTGCGCGTCGCCAAGCCTTCCGGGTTTGCCACGTCGAGCGCCATTTTAGAACCGAACAATTCCAAATACGAGATCCCACTGGATCTAAGCAGCGGTGGAGCGGTTCACAATAACGTTCTCGATCTGTCTGCGAATTTATCGGTCGGTAATTATTCCTCGTCCCCTGCCTCTTCGTCGTCCTCTTCACCTTCGTCCTCTTTGTCGTCGTCGTCGTCGTCGTCGTCGTCGTCGTCCTCGTCCTCGTCATCCTGTTCCCTGTCCTTGTTGAAACCAAGGCCATCGCGACCATCGATCCCTACAGGAAACTTACTAAGAGGAAAAGCGAAAGACTTGGAGCAACGACGAGGTCAAGACTCCAATCTAGTGACACTTTCCGACGCGGCTGTGTCCCTGTTAAGCGGCTGCATCACCGACGAGAATTCGATCGATCCTTTGGTACTCAGCTCTGCCAACCTCGCCAGCAAAGTCGCTCTGCGAATACCGCAACCTCATCAAAGAATCTCCGGTTTCGGAATGAAAATCAAACCAAACTTGAGTATCAGGCACATTCCTAATCCTCAGGCTGTGGTCGCGTCGCAATACAGGAATCAAAGAGTCAGTTACTTCAATTCTGCCTCGCAACAGCCACCGTAATTCTTTCTCCGCTAACAGTACGAGCTATCCTCCTGTGTATCCTCCATTCTTTTCACCACTTCCTATGGTAATAGCCAACAATCTGGTCGGTGTCTCTGACTTTTGTCCAACTTTAAAAATCGTTACCGAGAATGAGCAAACTATCGCGACAAAGATTTTATTTTTATTTTATTTTTATGCACTCGTCCATTGCAGCTAAAGCGATAAAGTTGTCGACGAGAAGCGTCCTCTCCGATGATTTTCGAACGTGTTACAAAGATCGATCGCTTTGAACGATTTTTCTCTTTACGTATAACCGGCGGCTGGCTTTAGTCATCAGATTAGGTTGGGTTAATATTAATCCGATCGCCGCGAGGCGGCCAGCCAGCGTTTCACTGCTTAATCGCTTTAAAGAGTAACTGAATAAATTCGTTGAATCTCAGTAAAGTGAAGCAACGAAATGTTGACCGCCATTACGTTGCATCCGAGTGTCCGACTCAGAATCCAGGTAATTATACGAATAATCGACCGCGAGGTGAACGTATCCTTCTATAAATATGTGTTTTCTCATTCAGCGTCATCGTCTGGTCACAGCTTGCACAGTTTTTACTTTCTGTGCTTCTACTTTAGTTTTACTTCCACGTTGAGTTTCGAGGTTTAGGCTTAGATCCTAGTGTCATCGAATCGGCCAATAAAAACGACCATGTTCTCCAGGATTTTCGCGAGATCAAAGTTAGATTTAGGTTTGGTTCTCGCGTAAAGTTCAAAGTACTTGTAATAGCCTGAGTCGTTATTTTTCGTGATATTTGATATCATTTAAACAGCCGCTTAAGATCAGAGATGCTGACCAAATCGCTCGATATTACCACTTCCTATTATTAGATTTAGAAGACGCTCTTACGGAAATAAGATTCCTACGTGACCAATCCAAAGGCTGTACGTTACCATATATTTTGCCCCGCTTCCTATAATGTTTCGTAAAACGTGATGAGTTTTGTGTGGGTGTGAAGACACATGGTACACCCGGTAGCATAAACTAGAGCGGCAGCTCGAGAGGTGAAAGTGAAAGAATGATTGTGACATTTAATACAGCGCGAGTAAATATATTCTATTAGATACTTTTTTCAAAATGAACAAGACTAAAAGAAGATCGTCGTCTGGTACAGAATGTTTTACATTAAAAGAGAAGAAAATAGCGACAAAACGAATAACACACGTGTTACCCTGTGTCTTTCCCTCTCAAATGAGAAACAACGGCGGTATGTTTGTAATGCATGTACGTATGTGTGTGTCTGTCTGTCTGTCTGTCTATGATCAACCATTAAATGCAAATTAGTATACCTACTTGTGGCCAGGCCTGACAAATTCATTTGCGGAAAGAGTCGGCAATTTGGCGGATCCGCTTTATTGGCAATGGCACAACGCCTGACAGAGATATATTAGACGTAGCATAACGTATGGTTAAGGGATGTAGAGACAAGGATAGCGGATGAATGGTTAGAGTGGAACGGCGGATGGATGAAGGATAAACTTTCTTGTCCCCACGTGTTGTCGTTCCTTTTTTAGAACCTTAGAGAAATATGTACTTCATAGAGATGCCAAAGAACGCCAGAGAACGTGTGCAATGTACTAGTGCAATTTAATTATCGTCTATTATCATATAATATATTACGAGCGATTTATCGCGATAGAAGGCCGATTATAATTTCGTGGTAAAAGGAAAAAAGAAGAAGAAGAAGAAGAAGAAAAAAAAAAAAGAAAAAACAAAGAAAGAGGGGAACATGCTAGTAATACATATAACAACGGGCAACCCTTTAAAAAAATTAGGCGAGAAACTTCGAGGAGCTTTGTAAAATCTTTGTAATGTACACTCGATTCTTCGTATCGGGGTGTACCGTTTTGAATTGGAAGTTTAAATATGCAAAATACGTACCTACCACCCGTACGTCGTATCCTATAATATTAAGGGAGTTTTTATTCTACGAAAACGTATAAACTCATATCGCTGTTACTGATTTACGAATGATATATTATAGGTATTATTATCGTCCGAGATCGATACGATCGAGCGGTTTTTGAAAACATTCGGATAAAGAATAACATCGAGTGCGCTGTGAGCTCGTTGTGCGTGATATATGGCGATTTTTAATGCTGTATCGGAATTTGTACAGACTGCTCCTGTTCGTACAAGGACAGCAATAAAGATGAACACGATGATTTCAAAGAAATTTTAAACGATACGTTTACTAGGAAACCAAATCCTACTCGAACGATCAGAATAATTCAGCGTTTCCGGTATTGCACATCGATCGAGCGTACACGTTGCGTAAAAAAGATGTATGTCGATGGTGGAATGAGAGTCAAGGTGGGTATGTAAAAGTAAGAGTTTTAAACGTCTGGTCGAGATAAATATTGAAAATAGGGGAACGGTGCCAACGAGTGCGAAGAAACAATGGAGAATATCGATACCCACGATTCGCGGCGAAGTCGGACGTTCGAATCTCGCTTAGGAAATTTGCATCGATTAGTTACATGGTTACGCGTGGTCGACGATATTTGGGAAAAGAAGGGAACCACACGATTTCGAATTAGCTAATAATCAAAAAAAAAAAAAAAAAAAAAAAAAAACT